TGGTATGCTTTGTTCGACGAGTTGTTTCACCCCGAGGTGCAGAACACCCAGTTAAAGCTATTTGCGACCCAAATGTTGATGATACTTGATGATTTTGGGCCTGTCGGAGCTATTGATGCAAGGAGATCGAGAACTTCCAACGTCAGGACATTTTCACGCCCATCGTGACTGCTCCTTGGGCTGCACGTGAACCACGAAGTTTTTAGCGGTCTGGGTGGTGGCGGTCTGCGTGTCGCGTTCCGCATAGCCGTCCGCCGGTCCTAGAAAGGACACTGATCGCAGTTTTTGAAAAGTTTTTTACAAGCAAGGATAGGCCCAGCATTCGCAAGATGGTTGAGGTATAAAATAAACTAATTAACACGATTGTCTACGGGATTCGGTTCAATGCCACTTGAGCCAGTTTTTCTAGTCGTTTCTAGTTGAAGCAATTGAAGCCCCTCAGGTCCGATCAGCACTTGGGACTGCATTTGGTATATGTTTTTTACATATAAAATCCATTGAGGTGACAGCATTTGGGACGCATGTGGTGGATTAGATGTTGTATTGCAAGCCCTGATGAAGATGGCCAAGCCGGTGGGTTCTTGAGGGAGCATTGGTTCGGCATTGGCTGGGTTGTGTACAGTAGTCCAATTTCCAGGAAATGGATCGGGATATCAGTGATATCAGAGCCAAAGCAGCTGTGCTGTTGGTTGACAGGTGAGCATCGAAGATTATCCAGTGGAGCTACAGTGGATTGAGGCGGCGGGCCGTAGAAGGATGCCTCAAAACGACATGTGCAGGCTTTGAATCAGGTTGCATGAGTCTGAGGTTAGGCAAAAAAGGTGAACTTATACATTATGTAAACTAATCGATTGTCCTACTTCATGGATTTTCAGGATTTTCCTTTTCTCATTGAGCTGACAGAAACTCCGCAACTCGTTAGTCCGTTAGTGGTCAAGTGAAGGGCCTCCAGCATATTTCAACAGCAATGCACGTTGAGCCGCATTTGTGTGTTGCTTTCTGTACTGTTTGTATGATTTTGTATGAAGTTCAGATGAGTTCAGTTGTGTACTTTGGGGGGTTGATTTGCTTTGTGGGCCAGGGTTGGGGCTGTCATCCCTAATGGTCCATCATGCACACTTCACTGCACAAAATGTGTTTTGGAAGATCTTGCACCACGGTGCGAATCTGCTGGTGCCGCGCAATCAATTGGATTTATCCGTTTAGCAGCGGTAGTCTTAGGCTGTGTATTTTTATACTATAACGCAGTGCTAGTCTTAGCCAAGGTTGTTCAAAGATTTCAAGGTTTGCCAAGAGTTCTTCCCCCCATGTAGCCAAATCAAGCTTCCAAATGTTTGGTTGCTAAGAACTGGTCCGGGGAGATTTCAGAAAGGTTCTCTTACCCACTCCGCGACTTCAGTGAAAGCGCCTTCTTCCCGTTTCTCGAGGAGACCACCCTAGACCGTGCGCGTGCCGAAAGATTGGAGAAGCAGATTCAGGCGATCGGGTCAGACAGACAGTCGTTGCTTCCCTTGATGCGACAGACAGACAGCACGAGGGTCCTGAATGTGAAGGAGCTGTTGATTCGTTGATATTCGTTTTGAAGGTCTGAATCAGGGATTCGTTGTTGATTCCTGTTGGGGCTGATAGGGGCCCATCTCATTCCGACGAATTGCAGCGGCTTTCCACGGGTGTAGCGGCGAAACGGGCGCTCGGGCGAGACGGCCCAGCCACCATCACAACAGCGTTGCGAGACGGAGCGCAGTACGGAGCGCCTGCCGGGTCACTGCACTCAAACGCGGATCAATCTATGCCTGCGTTGCAGTCCTGCAAGTCTTAGCGAGGCGGTTGAGATGCTATGAATCCAGAAACTAGTATATTATATATAGAGCAGATGTGATGTGTTACTGACTGTGTATGTATGTGTATGCGTGTGGTAGGCACACACACAGATATATATATATATATATAGATAAATAGTGCATTACCAGCAGAAATCGAAGAGCTTGCTACTTTGTTGGAAGATTTGCCTGCGTTGTTGCGAGGCTGCTAAGAAGGAGTCTCAGCAGCAGTCAGGCAATCAAATCTGACCTTATTAATTCACCTAAAGGCCTCTCCTTTCAAGCAATATGCATAACAAGAAGATCCTTATTGAAGTTTCTCTGAAGCAATATGCAGCGGGGTCGTAGCTTCGGTCCAAGCGAGGCACGCTTCTTGAAGATTGAGAGCTCCAGGACTCCACCTGTTGAATGCAATAGACCGGGTTAGATTGGGACAGTGGCAGAGGATGCTCAGGGCAAGAGTAACAAGAAGTGGCAGAAACGAGCAGCATGATCAGCAGTAGCAATGGTATATACACAGTAATCTTAGTTGACCGCAGTTGCAGTGGTAGTTGATGCTAAAGAGTAGGTTTGCCGGGGGGATTTTTACATCGTCTGGGGGGGGTAGAAGCTTGCGGGCGGAGGAAGTCGGCCAAGCGGCCTGTGGGCCTCAACACTGTGCAGATGCTGAAGACTTGCAGCACACGCTTGGGCATGTCACCGGCAGAGACCATGCGTCCCTTCGGTTCAGATGGGGCTTTGGGGCCAAGTAGAGGCCGAACGCCGGTGCCCAGGAGGCCGACTGTTTTTTTGCGGGAAATTCAAGAGACCATCGAAGGCTGTAAAACTAAAAAGGTTCAGTAACATCGACGAGTTTCGCATCCTGCAAACGGGTTAGGTGGCTAGCAGCCTACTGTACAGGTCAGATCAATTTTCAGGTTCTATGCTAATCTTCCCCAGCGTAGCTGGTAAACGGATACTATTTGCCCCACATGGGGCGGAGAGGCTTTGATCCCATCTCAAGCAACACATGGCTCAGGCATTGCTGAGGGCTTGTACTCCTCCGGGTATATCTCCTACCCAAGGACAGCCACTGAGCAGCAGATGGACGGCGCACAAAACACGCGAGTTCGGGTCGGAGTGTTCCAGTCGAAAGCACATACAGTACAAGCTTAGTCTCACACTGCACCTTCCATGAGCGGCCTACTGCTCTCCTGACGATGTTTGAGTTTATGTAATTTATGATGGTATGCGTCTCTGACATCGTGTGCGTCTTCCTTCAATTGTCCCAGAGATCCCCCCCCTGCCCTTGGATTGCACAGGTTCTCATCGTTTATAAGGAGCTTTTGACGCTTTTGGGGTGTGGCATTCTGTTACCTCGCGGAATCGACTCCCGAAACATTACAGGAACTCGGTCCAAGTTTTGAACGTGTTTCACCCGACGCTTCTTGATCCTAGTTTTGCTCCCAGTTCTGGAAGCCGTCGCGTCTCCGCGCCTTTGCGCCTCTGTGCCCGCCCGTGTCTGAGGAGACGACCAAATATTCACAGACCTTCGACCTGGTCGCGGCACTCAGGGAACAAGCCTACCATCCGACGTGGGGTTTCTCGGCTGGGTGGGTGCTTGCTGGTCATGAACCCGCTGCCACTACATGTCATCAGCACCGTTGCTGTTGCAAGGAAAGACGGTGAGCTACGTCCTGCGGGAGACACAGATTCAACAACCGGTGCCTTGGCTGAGCATCACCAGGGTTTGGAGCATCACAGAGCTCCTTTTTTCAGCGTCAGGTGCTTGATGGCATGCTTCGGCCATCCTCGGATGCATCGAAAGCGCTATGTTTCAGGTGGCAGGCACTGACAAGGGCGATCATCCACCCATCACGCCGATCAAGGCCGCTCCCAAGGCCTGACATGGAGACAGCGATGGAATGGAAAAACAGTGGACAAGAAAGAATGGCATATGCATGCTCATTGGATCTCATTGACTATCTATAACATTGACCCAACACTTTGTGAGAGAAGCACTCATTCCGACTCGGGTGACTTATATAGATGAATGATTGATGATGAATGTAACTCAACCTCGCGAAGTTGAGTGCCCCAGAGGCGTTTCAAAACAGAGTCAAAGGCCGTATGGAATAGACCTATGTGGGTGACATGCTGTTGATCTTGCAAAGCAGCCAAGACACTCTACACCCCATCCTTCCCTGATGCCAAAATTCTTTGTTTCTTTGGATTTGCCTCTTCTCCACTTGAACTCTTTGACTATCTCAGCAGCGAATTTCGACTTGATCACCGCAATGCTGCAATCATCATCCGATTTTGCAGCGGCCCGATGTCGGAGCTGGCTGCCAGGACGAATTTAGCAAGGGGAAGGAATGGAGGCTCTATGAGTTCCTAGGCCTGAGCAATTAATATCCATATATATATATCCATATGTCTTTGGCTGTTTAGAGTTTGGGGGTGTTTCTTCATGTGTCTCCTTCGCTGGAGAGATGGGACAACAATGTTCTGTTCCGCTATAGTGGCCTCCTTCTTCAGGAGACAGTTTCACGTTTTCTTGTGTGCGGGCTTTCCGAGATCATACAAGGTATGTGACGCGACACTTCATCGCATCTCTCATGGATGATGCGTCGTATGACGAAATTCGCCCCTATGACCGGACGTGGAGCTCGACCGGACAGGGGAATTCGGACCGGATGCTTTGTGGATCACAGCATTGGGATGGGTAGTTATATATGGATGAAAGTTCACTTGTTCTGGAACGTCAGTGTGGCCTCCCTTCCCCCTGAGACACACCAATATGGATGGACAAGAGGTTTGGAGCGACGGCTGACATGGTGGGACAGACCACTTACCCTGTGCGGAACCAGTTTTGTTTATTAGTCAGGGATAGTCAGGGTCGGTGCATTACTATGCATTACTTGTACCGAAGCTTAAATTTCCATCAGCATTGCCTATGTAGCAACTGGTCTACAGAATGTTCATGGTTGATACGTGTTGTCTAAAGCGAGAAGCTTTCAAGAGTTGTACAGTAGGGCATTGCCTTCATTGGATTTATGGAAGGGAGGCACCGTTCCCCTGTCATGAGATGGCCTGAGCTTTGCTATTGAGCTGCTGAGCTGAGGCTACGTCTTCGATGTGGCTGGAGAGCACTTCACCTTCACCTACCACGAGGTTAAGGAGCGTGGTTTTTTCTACATTATGCCGTGGCGCCCGAGAGACCTGACCCTTGGAGATGGAGGGTTTGAGATGTTTGATGATGTGTGTTCAGTGCTCGGGGGAAGTTCTTGACACAGATGGGAGGGAAATTGGAAGCCATGGGACAGATGCATGCTGCGCGCGTTTTCCGGTGAGGTCCTGAGGTTGAGCATGTGCGTTTGTTCTTGGGCTCAAGTACTGGGATGATTCGATTATACTATATAAAAAAAAATATATATATATAGATTTTGAGACCTTGATCCTTGCAGTTCATGTTGTGGTTCTTTGTTCCTTCTGGGGCTGGTAGCTGACATTTTGCATTCAAGGGCAATGCAGCTGAAATCGGTGTCCAAAAGGAATGCCAGGCAATGTCACCATCCAAGAGTCAATGCCAGATTTTTGAGCACAATGCCTAGGAAGCTGAATGAGATTGACTGGGACATGCCTGAGATGTCCCAGAGATCAGAGCTTCTCGGTTCTTGGAGGACTGGTGATTAAGGCAGATCATCCTTCCAACAATGAAAGCAAGAGCCGTGAGCCCCCCCTGTCCTACATTCTTGTACCTCATAATCTTGAATCCAAATTAGTATAATATATAACAAAAAGTTTTGGCCAAATTATTCACACACCCTGATTAGTTTGATGGGTCGAAATAACAAAACGTTTGTTTCTCCCAGTGTCTTTTTTAAAGGTTTGTTTTTTTTCTATTTTTCTGCTATTGCTAACCCTTTAACTTCCTTACTTAACTCTCCTGAGGTTTGCTTGATTCATGGAATTCTAACCTGGAAATCGTTTTCA